CCTGCATGCATGAAATGCAGTGACCCTAGAAAAGGGACGTCAGTACAAAATAATATATCGAGTATATAAGGCAATATACTGAAAGCTGAAACTGGACTGATAATATAATAACTGATAGTAACTAGGTGTCAAAGATAATCTGAAGATATGCTTACCTACTGATACTGACTCAACTCTCTCAATATAGTAAGTAAAATAGTTGTCCGACTTTATAAGGCTCGGCATATATATAACTGCTCTGCCGTAGTAGGCTCTCTCATAGGCACTCGTCCATACTAGGCTCTGTATCTCGGCTAACTGGGCTCGCTCATAGGCGCTCGACCACAATAGGCTCGGTATATAACTTACCATCTGATCAGAGGTTACCCAATAGGGGCCTGCCCATCGATTATAGCTCGATGGTAATGAAAATACTATATGTATATATAGGCTCTCTGCTCTCTTGACTGAAAGAAGACAATACTCAATTAAATATGAAGTCCCGATAAGGAGAATACTATAATTTATGAGACTAGGATAATGTATATAAATTCGGGAGTATGAACTTCTCTTTATACCTCGTTATTAAACATATGTAATTATGAGATCATACCAAAATAAAGGAAGGGCTTAGCCTTAACATACCTGAGCTGGTTCTCTGCACAACCCTTCTAGCACACGACAATTGTGACAAAATTCGTGATGGCAAGATCGGAGTAGGGAAATATTCGTATGATATTCTTGAGAAAGATTGCATCGTACTCCCTTAAAATCGCAAAATCCCGTTGCTATTACCTTATGAAATATCGTATGAATTTTTGTAGCAAATTTCGTATGATCACTTTGTGAATTTGATCACAATCTTGTAAGATACCTACTGAAGCAATACCGTTAGAGTCTTTATGGCTTTTTTTTTGAATTCCATATCTTTGTGAGTAATGCAAATCTTGAATTTGAGAAGTCATCTTTCAATCATTTCCTTAAAGATTGCCACCTTGCAAAGTTGTTCAAGAGTCACTTAATGGCTCATGTATGTGGCTTCCACGTTAATGCCTTAGTCTTTGTCCAAAGACTTTAATTAATCATCCACTCATTATTAATTAACTTGTTAATTCCCCCATTATCCAATAATTATCCAATTATCTATATAATTAGGAATTATCTCAAATTACTTAAAATACTACTCACTTTTAACACACTTTGCACACCTTTCTATTATGGCCATGTGGTACCTTATATGACACTAGTCCATAAATACGGGGTATTATAGCTTGGACTGTATTTTATCTCAAAATATCAAACTTCGACAAAAATTTATTTTCTTTGATTTGCTTACCCTCTCACCTTCACGAATTTACTCATCACTTGTTTGAAGTAGCATAATGCTTATAATCTCCAAATAATCTCATTTCCGAACTTACGTCGATTAGCTTACGACAAAACTTTAACGTACGAAAATGCGGGATGGAACATCTCATTTCCGAGCTTATATCAATTTATTTATGGCGTACTTTCACGTACGAAAATATGGGGTGTAACAGAAACAAAGGGGCAAAACAATAGGAGATAACAACAGAATTACACTTACGCTTCATGTTCCATTCCTCGGGAAATGACATCTTCTCGGTCGGAATTAGGTCCGAAGTCTTCACTCGAGCGAACCTGCCCATCCAGCCTCGATCTTTGTCCTCTTCTATGCTTGAGGACAACACCTTGGTAGCCCGACACTAGAGTTTTATTAACCCACCTCGATAGAGGCGGGGGTTGTACAGTCTAATAAGATGGTCGAGGGTGAAAGGCATCCCCCCGATCTTGTTCACGAAGAAGCGGATTAGAATAACGATCCGCCAAAAGGAAGGATGGATTTGGCCTAGGGTTATTTGGTATTGGAGACAAAAATCGATAACAACAGGGTCGAGGGGGCCCAATGTGAAATGGTAAGTATACACACTTAAAAACCCTTTTACATAAGTAGTAATATCTTCTTCGGGAGCTGGTATTATCACTTCTATTTTCTCCCAGTTACAATCTTTTCTCAGCTGCTCGAAGTGTCCCTTAGTTATCGAGTACATATACCTCGATACTGGTTTACATTGACCAGGAACCGATGAGTCTTTATCGACCTTGAAATCAGAAGTAAGAACGCACCCCCCGGGAACGCACTCCTCCAGTTGTGGCTCCACCGGTATTTTGTCGGCGGTGGGCCGTGAAGAAGAAGCTTTTTCTTTTTGAGGAACGATTTTTGATGTTTTTGCCATTTGAATCCGAAGGTTGAAGATAGAAGAAAATGATAAGATTTGGTGCCTTAAAGGGAGATTTTGCAGTGAAAATCACAGATTCACAAATGAAGAACTCACAAGATGCAAGAAAGGACTTAGAAAATTTGGAAATTTGAGATGTAAAAATGATAAATGGTAAAAAGAGGGGCTATTTATAGATTGAGCAATGATAGTTCAATACCAGCAGTGGCCGACCATCGTCTGACACACATAAAATGCCTTGGTAAACTGAACCGACGGGACAACTATCACGTATGTCATGGTCGGGCTCGATGCAAATGTCAGTGTATATCTAATAGTGCCGTTGGAAAATCACGTCGTTTCTTGCCACATCCTTCCCGAGAAACTAGGGGATTATCTGTATACGGTCAAAATCGATTTCGACCTTCGTATGACTGGTCGAGATGGGAACATAATGGACCGAAGAGTATCTTCATAATATCGGGATGAGATCCGAAGCAAGGTCACCGAGCTTCGAGTTCCAGGGACCGATCAGGAGTTCCAGGGACCGATAAATACTGAGCTCGAAGTCATTATCGTGCTCGAATCCAAATCGAACTATGATGCGAAGTGACGTTATCGAGCTTAAGAGCTAAAGACCGACCAATACTGAGCCCGAATCAAAATCGGGCCTCGAGTCAATATCGAGCTCATAGACAAGAGCCGTTACAGCCGCACTAAGGGAGAGAATCTCGGCGGGAATTAGGAAAAAACTGATTTATCATGGGTTCCCCACTATGTATTTTTAATTATATCTAAAGTAGGATCCCTCCACTATAAGAGGGATGATTATTATTTCTGTAAGGGGACGACTGTTAAGGCATTAACACACTATAACTCAGATACTGTTGATACACTCCCATATTGAAGGATTATCCTTTTTAGCTTTTATAGATTGATTCATCTTGCTTATCCATAAATCATCCCCCATTCAACTTTGTTTGTATTTCATTCTTTACAGTCAATATAAGATATTCATACTTCCCTTTACGATTTGTGCCAAATTATACCACGTACCTTTAGAACAACGTACAAATTTAACTCTATCCATTTTTCGGGTAAACAGTATTGCCATAAACGATGTGTATTCGGACACGAGAATAGTAAGTGATTAATATTTTTGTCCTGTAGGTGGCAAATGTGATATAATTTGGATGTAGTGCTATACACATTAATATATGTAATGTACTTTTTTTTTTCTTTTCTTGCACCCGATATTTACGTTAAACCATATTAATTTATCATGATTAAGTTATTTAATATTATTATAATATATATTAATTAACTATAATTAATTGATAAAACTCTAAATACTTACACATATTAGTTTGGCGCAAGCACCTGGTTAATGCAAGTACTTTTGCCACGCCAATATCTTACCAATCAAAAGGGTTCTTTCGTTTCCTTTTTTTCTTCTGTGATACCCAGACAAGTGGGTTTGATGAAGCCAGCTAAAGATTGTGGTGTTTGATTATTTCTATAAAATATTTAGAGTGGTTACCAGAAGACCCCAAAAAATATTAAATCAACTAGTTACTGCTAAAATTTGTTACTATTTAAATATTCTTGGAGGGAATTGATCTAACCACCGGGTGAAAGATGATTTCGTGGTCACATTTAATTTTCTGATTTTGATGAATTAATGTCTTTTTAAATCTTATTTCCATGCCAATAATTAAATGGTGGAAATTAAGAAAGAACAACGTTGCACCAAGTTGTGTACTAGGAATCAAAGAAATCCTATAACTTAATTGTCTTCGAATTAAAACATGTGAGAAATCATTAAATTAAATTAGACTATTAGAGCTAAAGCATTAATCACATGCGCGCGCCACCACTCTTCGTCCATTATTAACCACATTTTGCACCACAAACTGAAAATTAATATTGATTCTAGCACCTCCACTAGACAACCATACTTATATGAATATTCAATTGTTCTACTTTATTTATGTTCTCCCTAAGTCTTCAATTATTCATTAAATTTAATATAGACCCTAAATTTTCGGGTCTTAATTAAACATTTTTTTATGGACAAAATAAAATATAACGATGATGCAACCTCCTGATGTGAGCATGATGTCCTATTCAATTGTACTTCTTTATTTATGTTTTCGCTAAAGCTTGGTTGGATGATTGTTATTTATTGTATTTTTTGTTACTTTAAATAAGATAAGATATTTGTTTTGATTGTTAGTTAACTATTATCGTATCGTTAAATCTGTCGTTACGTAACGACGAAATGTGTCACTTTATGTAACGACCGATTTGGTGTGGTCGCGTCGTTACCTTATTTTTTTCTCTCAATCTCACCCTTCATTATTATTAAATAATTTTATTTTATTATTTACCCTACCTTTTTATATAGTGATTTTATCCTGTATGATAATTTTTCTTTATAATATTACAAGTTTATTCTTCATATTGCTGGTTCGTGATATCATGAAATGATGACAAACGACACAATCTATCCCAACATCGTATTCATTAAACGATACAATACAATAAAATACAATATGATACAATACACTATGAAACGATATTAACATCAATCCAAACAAGCAGTAAGTCTTCAAGTTTTCGGGTCTTAATTAACTATGTTATTGGTGGACAAAATAAAATATTACGATGATGCAACTTCCTGATGTGAGCATGATGTCTTATTCTACAACTTCACTTCTCCAGTTGAGTACTATAAATATTAACCAGTAGCAGCTAAGGAATAATAAACATTGAGGTTCATACTTGCACAAAATTTTCTTCATTTTCTCAAGAATGGCTAGCTTTTCTTTCTTCTTTATTACAATCTTGATCTTTGTTTTTCCCATTATTGAAGGGCGTATTCTGAAACTTGAAGGTTCAGAAAGTAGTAGATTGATCTCAGATGGAGTTGAACACTTCAAGAATCAATCAGAATATCTAAGCCCAGGCAGCTCAAAGGCACTTATAACTTCAGGGGATGAATGTAAACATATATATGGTTTCTTTCCATGTGCAGAAAATATTGGAGGGTACATTTTCATGATTGTCATATTTCAGTACTTGCTAATTCTTGGTGAGAAAGTACAGTCCATAGGAAGCAACAGGCTCTTTAGTATTCTTGACACTGGAATTTTTGGTGCGAGTATCTTTCCAGCCCTTATAACTTGGCCAAGAATTGTTATGGCGTTTGGTAATTATCTATTCCTTATAACTTTTTTTTATCTTTCCAAGGAAATGTTCAAGTACCATATTTATTTATATATATATATATATATATATATTACACTTACATCATAAAGGATTTTACAATACAAATGTAATTTAACCAACTATATATACCAAGTTATTATCCTATTTCGTGTTACCATATCAGGTTTGCTATGATGAGTTACTTATTACTATAAGTCAACTCAAATCCATACACTATCAATGCAGAAAACCTAAACTCTTGTTCATATAAGTAGCATGGGCGGAGCCACCTTAGGCTAAGAGTGGCCTGGTGCACACCCTTCACCGAAATTATGTGTGTACAGAGGTTAACTGTTAGCTATTATGAGTGTATTTTTAATTTTGTACACCCTTAATACAACAACAACAACCCAGTATAATTCCACTAGTGGGGTCTAGGGAGGGTAGTGTGTACGCAGACCTCACCCCTACCCTGGGGTAGAGAGACTGTTTCCAATAGACCATCGGCATCCTTCCCTTCAAGAACTCCCCACCTTGCTCTTGGGGTGACTCGAACTCACAACCTCTTGGTTGGAAATGGAGGGTGCTTACCATCAGAGTAACCCACCTTGTCATAGGTAAGAAAACCTGTACATCCTTAGCCAAATTTCTAGCTACGTCACTGATAAGTAACATGTTTGATCCACGTCTTCTAACAATTGTGAATTAGTGATCCCATGTGGCGAAGCTAGTAATATTGCTAATGGTGTTCAAAATTATAAAATATATGTGCAAACAATAATATTTTGACCTTATATACTGTAGGGTCTATCCCATAAATTAAGGAAGATAACTTTCTTTCCTTTGATTGACAACCATCTTTTCTCAAGGAAAATGTCAAATTGTTAGGCGGATAAAAAAATAATTTGCATTACAAATTTTCAACCAATCCTTCATTATGATTGGTTGAAGAGGTAGGCTATTTCTCATATAAAAGGAGAGCTTCGGCTTCTTCATTTCACCACACAGAAAGAGAAGCAACACAATAGTTGCAGAGAGTATTTCTCAGGCATTGTGAGAAATAAACTCTATAGAGGAAAATAAAGAGTGAGCGATATTATAGTGAAGTGGGAATATCAAAAAAGGGTTATTTCTTTTGAGTGTTGTAGTGATTTTTGGAGTATTTTACTCGGACCTACAAAGTGTAAAATTCCTTGCTATAGTGATATTAGTTGCTCGTCTCGGGGCCGTGGTTTTTTCCCTTATTCAAAAGGGTTTTCCACGTAAAAATCTTGATATCGTTGTCACTCTTTTATTCTTGTTAATTACCGTATGTCGGTGCTATATTATTATTCCTCTTTTAGTACCGTAAATATTATTTCTGTGAGGGTTTAATCCCAACATATACAACATAATTTTCAGATGAAGGGTATTCGACTGGCCATCTGGTTGTAGCTTAGCTCTGCCCCTGCCTCTCATCCCTTTAAGCATTGGAACAAAATGCACACAATCTCTAAATTCTTCCTTGTAGAAAAATTCTAACTAGCCATTGATTTTCCAGTATCTGGACTACTGGTTAGCAGAGAGCAAGCTCAAGTATCGGTATCTTCTGCACTTGGTTCGAATGTTGGTTCCAGTGTCTTGAATCTTACTGTGCTCTGGGGCATATGTGTCATACTTGGGAGACAAAACATCTCAGGAAATTCAAATACACAAAGTGCAGACTCATCTTCTTCTACTTTGAAAATGAAAGACTTAAAGCGTATGTTAATTTCCTTTTCATACTATGAAGTTTGGAAAAAGATATAACTAAGCATCATAAGAATGAGATCTTTCTTTACAGGTACTGGAATCATAACAAATGATCTAACTGGTTATATAGCTGGAGTCATGTTTCTCTCCCTTGCACCATTCATAATAATGCTATTCGTCGATATCATTAGTTCATCAGTAGGAAAGCGCATTACCGTTCTTGTTGCTCTCATAGTATCAGTCACATTGTTGCTGTCATATTTCGCATATCAGGTTATCATCAACAACCTAATTTATGGTTCATTATCCAATTGATAATCCTGATCACTGTCAAATTAACTTAAGCTCATATATAAGTCACTCTTTTGTGTACTTCAGGTTGTAAAAACATGTCTGTTTATTATGTTTCTGATATATGTAGATGTGGAATCCATTGATTCAAGAAAAGTGTTTAGAATACATAAAACACGAAAACCTGGTGAAAGTGTTTGTGGAGCATATCCAAAGGCAGGCAAGAGGAAATCTCTTTAAAGGTGGACGTCCTGACATTAACGCGCTCAGAGGGTAACATTTTTTGACACCCTTAAATAATGAGTTAAATCTACCGCCCATACTTTTAAGTCACCTGGAAGTGTAAACATCTTACTTTTACAAGTCACTGTGTAGAAGTTAAACTCTTATGAAAAGTCTTGTTTCCTCATATATTTATCAAGACTTACAGTTAATACTATCTTGAGTTGAGGGTCTATCGAAAATAACCTCTCTATTCCAACGGGTAAGGTTAAGGTTTGTATACACACTACTCTCCCCAGATACCTTACCTGTGGGATTTTACTGGGTTGTTGTTGTTGTTGTTGAAANCGTACACACTACCCTTACCCGTGGGATTTTACTGGGTTGTTGTTGTTATTGTTGTTGTTGGCGTACAGTTAATACTACAATTCATTTAAAGTAGCAGCATTTTGATCTATTTAAGTCAAGATAATTTCACTCGTGCAGATTATTTACCAAAGCCGACAAAGATAGGAGCAACTCCATAACACTCACTGAACTAGAAGAACTGGTAAACCAGCTTGAATCAGGAAAGGTTAAAGTGGACAGTAACTTTGCCCTGTCAACACTGTCAAGGATATTCGACAAAAATGGAGATGAAAGGATAAATGAGGAAGAGTTCATTGAGGGATGCAAGAAATTGATACAGGAATCCAAGGGCGATTCCACCTCCATCAAGAAACATTTTGATGAGGCAAAAAAAAAAATCATCTTCTTTTGCTCTTTCACTAATATAGACACTAGTGGCTCTATCTGTGACAAAAAGAATTACTTTTAGTTAGTCAAAATAAAAGGATGTTGATAGAAACAAGGTGGAATACGATCATAATTTGAGCTAGTACTATGTAAAATGATTAATTTTTGCAACTCCATATATATGCAGGTAGTTAAGGCGTACACTGAGGGACAACAAAAAGAAATAGTTAAGATTCAGGAGCTCATGCCAAGAGTTCTCACACAAATACAGAACCAGGCAATTGAATCCGAAGGCCTTTTAAAAGATGACGGTAGCCCCAACATAGAAGCTATTAAAAGGTAATGTTTGTTGGATTTTGCATATGTTACTGCTGATTTACTAGAATAATAAGTAGTTTAGTTGTAGGAGGACTCTTTGTTTGAATTTAATTTTAGTTAGATAAGTTTAGTTGAGATATTTTAGGCTTTTGAATTTTATTCTACAAATTTTCTGTTTTCAGAGTAGGCTATTTAAAGCCCTCCATGCTTAATAAAATTCAAGAGAGAAACTTTCAATAAATCTTCCAACCTTTTTTGCTGAACCATCTTTTGAAAAACCAACAATGTTTTTTCAAGTTCAGAGGAGAAATTTCACAAGCTCCTAAGAATCAATGTCTCATTAATCCTTATCATCTGATCGTGTTACAGGCTCTTCCAAAAGTTAGATGATGATCAAAACAGTTACTTAACACCTTCAGAACTGGAGAAACTAACGGAAAATGTCAAAATCAGAGAAGTACATCTAGATCACCAAGGCTCTATCGAGGAAATCATCAAGGATTTTGATCAAAATAAAGATAACAAGATAGACGAAAATGAGTTTCTCGATGGTGTGAAATATTGGCTTCGTAATGCCAAGAGGACTACCGAAGAACTTCAGGATAAAGTAAAATATATTGCTAACTAAATAGTCCTATATGTCTTGTGTCTGATGTATATATGTACAAGATATTTTGACAGCTAGGTTTGTTTTGGAATTTATTTTTGCAGATGATATGGGGAGAAGTCGACAAGTTCTTGGATGAGGCTAAAAGAGAAAAACATAAACGTTTCGACTACTCTTTGGTGTTGAAAGGAGCATTCTGCAAGTCTGTGCTGCAAGTGATTTTGGGCACTGCTATATTAACATTGTGTGCTGATCCACTCATGGATAATATTATACGACTCGCAAATGCAATTGGCACGCCTTCTTTCTTCCTATCATTTGTCATAGTACCTCTGGCTATCAATGCAAGAACTGCAATAACAGCAATAACTTTATTATCTTCAACAAGCCAGCAGAGTTCCACAACTTCTTCTTTGACATTTTCCGAGGTCTACATCTCTTCTCATCTATCTCAAATTCTCCAACACAGTTACTATGTTCAGTAGATTCTTTTCTCTTTATTTTCTCATGAAACCTCCGGCAGAGTACTTGCTTTCTTTTGTATTTGTAATTTTGCGTTGACAACTCTAATATTATTTAATTTTTTTTACAAGCAGATCTATGTCCGAGTAATCTTGAACAACATTATGGGGATGTCAACAGTGTTATTNATTTGTTTTACAAGCAGATATATGTCCGAGTAATCTTGAACAACATTATGGGGATGTCAACAGTGTTATTTGTGTTGTATGCAAAGGACTTAACATGGGAGTATTCAGTTGAAGTGTTGACATCTATGGTGGTTTGTGCTGTAACCGGCCTTTTTGCATTTGTCCGCACAACCTATCCACTTTGGACTTGTATCATAGCTTTCCTACTTTATCCTATCTCACTTGTACTGCTTTATCTCTTCCATTAATTGCATCTTGTATTGAATCCTCTAATCTCAAAGTTATTCAGCTCATGAAAGTGTTGATAGCAACATATGTATAGTGGTCTGATACGTCTCATGACGTGATTTGATAGGTTTCGGCATCGAATGTAGAAGTTTGAAATTCTAAAGTTCATTAAGCTTGGGATGGAATATGATTCATGAATTCGATGTTATTTGATGTGATTTGAAAGCTCGACTAAGTTTGTAATATGTTTTGGGGCGTAATGGTATAATTGGTTGAGGTCCCGAGGGCTTCGGGTGGATTCCGGATGGTCAACGGATCGAGTTTGGACTTGGAAGAAAAGGCAGCTGATATCTAGTGTGATCGCACCTACGCAAAAGGGCCGCAGGTGCGAGCCAATGGTCACATGTGCGGTTTGGGCGAAGCTGGGCAGTAATCGCATGTGCAAAGGGTTGTCCGCACCTGCGAAGGTGCAGACGCGGAAGGAAAGGCGCAGGTGCGAGGTTTTGGCCGCACTTGAAAGACCACAGATGCGACGAAGAGGCCGCAGGTGCGGAAGTCGAGGCTGGGTAGTGTCTCCTTTAAAGCGAGGGTTTGGCTCTATCTCATTTCATTTTCGCCCATGGAAGCCGATTTTGGAGCACATTGGAGTGCCATCTTCATCAATCATAATGGGTTGTGGAGCATTGGGCATCGATTTGAGTTGATTGAATGGCTTGGGAGTCGTTTATGGAACTTCGGAGCGAGGTAAGTCTCATTTCTAACCTTGTAAGGGGGAATTAACCCCATAGGTGAACTAAATTATTGTGTGCTCCTATTTGTGGGGGCTACATACGCACGAAGTAATGAGAATCTGTATGTAGCTACTAGCTATGCCTACGTCTGGGTAGTTTTAGACTCACATTATGCCTTGTTGATATTGTTATTGATTTATGTTTATTATTTTCCTTGAAAGGGAGCGAGATTGAGTCTGCTTATTAAATGTTTTGAAAGGAGTTGAAATTGAAGAACTTAAGATTTAAAAGGTTTCATTTGAACTTCGTAATTTCGAAAAGAATTGAGGAATAATATAATAGCTGAAGAATCTATGTGTAACCGCGTCGCATGTATGATCCGCGAGCAGGGTAATTTTCTTAAAACGCTACAAGTTGAGTTTTCCTTATTTTGAAAAGAACCAATAAAGAGATATGATTTTAAATATTAAATTTATATTTGACCGCGTCGCAAGTATGATCCACGAGCGAGGTGATTTCTTAAATGTATGTTTGACCGCGTCGCACATATGATTCGCGAGCGGGGTATATCCTACTACTCTCATGGGAGCGGGCCGTTTGCCTCGGCAGGTTAAATAGATGCATCTATGATTCGCGCCATTCGACTCTATGGCAGTGCACAGTTTAAATATTTGTTGGATCGGGTCATACGACCTCGACATGATTTACGCATGCTTATATTGCTTCCCTTGAAATTTATAAATAATGATATTGCCTCCTCAGCCTGAGTTAAATTGTTAAATAATGAGAGATAAATTTGGAGATTTCTTAATTATAAAAGAACTGTTTACTTACTTCAAAATATTGAGCTTGCAACCGTTCATATAATCCATATTTAATTATATCATTGATATCCTATTTATAGCCCATAGTAAGTGTTGAAGTCGACCCCTCATGACATCGGGTTCTGGGATGATTATGGGATGTTCAGTATTGAAATTGGAAAATATTGTTAATTATTCTATAAATTCATATTTTACTAGATAAATTGAAGTAAATTTACGATTTTAAAAAAAATTAAAATGAGAATTTAATTAACTATTTAGTGTTGGCTTTCCTGACAGTGGTGTCCGGCACCATCACGACCTTTAATAAAATTTTGGGTTGTGACAACATGGTATCAGAGCACTAGGTTCACTTAGGTCTCACGAGTCATGAGCGAGTCTAGTAGAGTCTTGCGGATCGGTACGGAGACGTCTGTACTTATTTTCGAGAGGTTACAAGGTTGTTAGGAGCAATTCCCATCTTGATTATCATCGTGCGATTTGATTCCTTTGAGGCCTATGCCTTCATTTCCTTCACATTCAATCTTATGCGACATGAAACGCTTGCTATCGATCGAGAATTGAGGAATTGTAATGGTTCTACAAATGTGATGCGGGATGTTTCTCCATGCGTAGTTGATTGGGCCATTGTCGTCGCCTTGTGGAAGGATATTCTGTAATTTCAGCTCAATAGTTGTACTTCTGAGAGCTTTGAGGCTATGCACATGTTGCTATGATGCTCATGAGTTGTTATCGCACAATATTGATGTGATGGTAGGATGCTTGCCTATGTTTTGGGGCAGTGAATGACTTGAAAGGAGGTTTACTTAGTGCATGATTCAAGGATTCAGTATTTTACTTCCGACGAAGGAAAGGCAATCGAACTAAGAATGTTCAGACTTGGGTTGATGGAGTAGCGAGACTCGATATTTTCGAGCGTGGTGGAATCTTCGCTTGTGATGTGGCGTCATCGTCCTCGATTGGTTATGATGTGTTAAGTTCGCTGGTGTTATGGTTTCCTTCTATTCACCTTGGGGAAAAGTATTATATATGTTGCCGAGAAAGCGGTTGTCAGAGGTCGCAGTATGCAGTGGTTTAGGATCGAATTGGAATTCCCGATATTGATGGCTCGAGAAAGATTATTTTAGGAAGGGTTTAAAGTTGGTAGCGATCTATCGGTTCAAGTGTTACAGAGGTAGATTTTAATTTAAGGCAACAACTGGGCAGCGAAGGATGAGGAAGGTCATGTGGGAGGTGCCTTGCAGTGGATAAACTTATAAAAGGCCAAGTGTGAGGAACATGAGTCAGGTAGTTACTTAAAGGAGTGAGTTTGACCAAAGTGGGAGAGTGTCAAAGTAGCATGTGGTTCTATGATAGGATAACTACACGTCTTGAGGAAAGTTTAGAGTGATTTGGGATTCATGGTGGTCAGTGACTAGGTCTACGGACTTAATTTGAAATATTGGCTATTATGTGGCGGTAGATTGGATACAACAGAAAATAGTTGCATGATATGAAGAAGGATACCACATGACTTTGGATTGGAATGTATTGTCGCACCTTTAGTTGATGTCTATGAGGAGTGAACAGACTGGTGCAGTTGGTGAATGAGCTCAAACTCAGGATGATCTACTGATTTCGTACTAATTATAACTAGTGCAACGACGTTGGAATATGTCGGCATGTAATTTCCACAAGTGGGTTATCTCCTGTGAGCAGGTTAGCGGTCATGTGGTGATTGACGAAGCTTCTGCGAAGAATTCTACTGGCTACCCGGTAAGAGATTTAATATGTAAATGTGGCTAGTGGTTCAGAGTGTTTATTAAAGGTTAATAGAAGGATTTCGAGGAATTTGGAGGGTTGATTGTGCTGGATCATGTCGATGAAGGAAGAATCTTGGTGGGTTCTAGGTTTATGCAATAGTAGCTTCAAGCTAAGTGGGAGAATCCCACCGCCTACAGTTGGATTGCATGGTCGTCTATTTGTAAGATATTTAGGTATCAGCATATTGATGGGTTGCTACGACTACGGAAAGAGAATATCAGTGGTAATTTGAGTAAGCTATTTGAGGAATGTGTGCTATAGTTGGCCTTATCGATTCATGCTCAGGCTTTGGGAAGACTCAAGATTTATGCTTCGTGTAGAGGCGAGTTACAAGGAAGATGATTCGGCTAGGTGCTTCTTTGAGAGGGTACTCATGTGCTAGCGGAGCCTTGGAGTTGATTATATTCAGGACCAAGTCAGAGTGGGTGACTCTCAATAACGGTCCTAGTAGATTTAAAAGTTAAGGTGTGGTGTCTAAGGGTTTCAAGTCTATAGTATGGTTGAATAATGAGTTTTGCAGCGGATTATGATAAAGGAACTTGGAGTGTTCCGTGTTACCTTTGGTCTACGGGGTATCATGAGAGGAAGGGGAGCATGTAACTTTGGATTTATAGAAGAATCATCAGAATAGGTGTATCAGTTGAAGACACGATTATGCGCACAAGGAGGGTATGAAATGGTTTGTGGGTTTTGGGGACAATGTGGTCTCGTGAAATAGGGTCACTCAGAATGAGTGTGGATTGAATTCATTATATTAATAAAGGAGCTGTTGTTATTTCTAAGGAAGATCCAGAGTAAATTAGGAGAAGTCGGGTTTTGGTTAGCAATGGTTGAATTGGCATGATGATGGCAATGATTAGCTCCTTAAGCGTGTTGATTTGTGCATGTGATTTGTGGCAGTACGTGTGAGGTTTGACGGCCGCCGTAATTGATTTTAATTGAGGGCATTCGAGCATTATGTCATGTTAGGTGTAGACGGATTCCTGAAGGACTGTGGTGGTTTAGACCACTACTTGAGGTTGGTATTTTCTGCAGATTTGAGGATTCAGTCACAAGTTGAGATGGTTCTCTTGGAACGAGTTAAGTAAAAGGTTTCTATGTGGTGAAGTGTTTACTCTATTAGTAGTTCGGAGGTTAAGATGAAATTCCTGTACTGTTGTGCATTGGGATGACTAAGTGTAGTGATCGGCATGGGATTCAGAAGTTGAGGATCAAGGTTGCAGTTTCGTGTCGACAAGAAAGTCAAGAGCTCGAATGAGCGGGAAAGGATTTAGATGGTTAGAGTAAGCTGGTATTGTCTTTGGCGTCACCTGATATCGGTGCCTGGTGTAAAGAGGCTTTGCATATTGAATGCGGATTCTTGAATTTGCTTTACAACAATTGGTGTGGCCGATAGTATGAATATACAGACTTGTTTCCTGGTGCGGAAGGTCATGGGAGCATATCCCACGGGAAGATGGTATAAGTGTGACATGTAGTCACTTGATTGATTGAAGAATGGAAACCAAGTATGAAGATTTTGGTAATATCGCTAATTGGGAATTTATGCCCGGAGGGCGCTCGGTTTATTTGGTGGTGGACTGTGGAAGTTGTTCCGGTTATGACGGTTGTTCTTATGTGTTATGGGAAAGAGGGGTTATTATGGACCCTTGAAAGGTTATTAGCCTAGTACGGTGCGATCAGAATCGGCTTGAGGTATGTGTATGGATTTAAAAGTGAATATGGCTCTATGTCAGGCCGGATGTGTTCATTTTGGCATAGCGCTCCTTATGGAGGAATATTCGGACATTGGATGTTATTTCGTCGTCAACTATTTCATGTAATACTATATTGTGCCGTGTGAGTTGTGGAATGG